AAGGGAATATTTTATTAGATGAAGTCCATTAAGATCCAGAGTCTCAAATTAATGCAATATCTTAAGGGCAAGATATTCTGTTTTGTTTTCTTTTTTCCTAGATTAAATGCCACATTAAAGGATCACTCATGTGGCATTACATGCTGTAACACGCACAGAGGAACTGCAAACCTTGCTAGAAATTCCAGAGGTCATCCTCTGGGCATTGAGCACACAAACCCACTCAGAGCTGTGCATTCGGCGCTTAGTGATCCTAGAGGGGGATCCCATGAGATTCCCCAATAGAGACACGTGATTAGCTCTGCACATACAAAATGTGAAAATCAAGTGAGGATCAACCTAATTCCTTCCATTTGCACAGGACTTTGTGGCTTACACGGGGCTTTTTGCAAAAGGGTAAAATTTCATGCATCCAGTTTCTAGCTGCTCATTAACATGGATTGATAGGCAGTAAAATTCAGGTTTCTGGGTCACTTTTGTTCACATGAATGATTGACTTGCCGCGCGTCTCTCCATTTCTCTGCAGATGGAGACCCCAGTGAGCCACTGCTAGGAAGAAGAACTGACATTTTAGTGAGGCTTGGCAATGGGCCAAGCCTATAGTAAGCACTTTCCTTACATTGTCCCTGAAGCCACTCAACAACTCTATGAAGTAGTTCCTATTATTTTTTCTTCCATTTTGCAAATGCAGAGGCTCAAAGATGTTAGATTCTTTGCCAAAGGTCATGAAATTCATAAATGCCTGAGCTGGGACACAAACCAGGACTGTCTGACACCTAAAGCCTATATTAAGAATCTCCAGACTGGCTGAGGTCAAAGGTTTTAATAAAATTGTAGATATTTAATGTGCTAATTGGACAGGATGACCTGAAAGGTTCCAGGGTGGGCAGCACTAATCTAACTTGGGGGAGGGTATAGGGGAGTGTTGGGGGAAGGGGACCATGACAAGGGCGATAAAAAAGAATGTGTCCATGTGCTGTCATGCTGAATAGTGTAACGTAAGAAGGCTATGTATTTGTAATTGGCCTTTTCTGTGTCAAGCACAAGCCTGAATTAGGTCAGGCTTTCAGAGTGTCCTCTGCTGACCCTTTTTGAAGCCTGTGGCCCCCTTTACATAAACTGTGAATTAGACACTAAGTTCCATGACATAGCAGAGGCTGATTATACGTCTTATGCATCCATGTTGCTGAACCTCCAGTCCTATCCCGGTAGCTGATGTGGTAGGTGCTTAAATATTGGTTTACTATTGATGGTGGTGATGATAGTAAATACTCAATGAGTAATAGTAATGTATTCTTTCCAAGCATTATCTCATCTCATCCTTACAGTAACTCCATGAAGTATAGGGTGTCTCCCCAAAATGTATACACATATTTTGAATAATTCTAAAGGCAGTGTTTATTAAAATACATTTCATTTTCAAAAGTGGGAGCTATCAGCTGTTAAAGTGTGTATACATTTTTTGGAACACCCTGTATTTGTCTCCCTAATTTATAGATTTTAAAAAAAAACCACAACAACACATGGCTTAGGGAGATCTTGTAACTTGCTCACATTCACAAAAAGTGGCTGAAAATCAGCTTTGCCTGATATTGGAACCTTGGCAGTGAACACTATGCTATAGTAACATATAGCTATAGTTATTGATTGATATGCTTTTGTTATATTTCTAAGAAAGCTCATATTAAACTCAGATTATAGAATTTAGGTTCTGTGAAGGAAGAAACTTTTGTTTTAACCATATCCCCAGCACCTAGAACAACTCTTGGCATTTACTAAATGCTCAGTAAATTTTTTTTGTGCGCATATGCTTACAAAATGGGTAAGAACAATTATTTCAATAAGAATAGGAGTTACAAGCTAGAAATTAGTGATTCACAACAGGTTTTGTTGTCAGGGTTGGGTTTTTTTTTTTATTGCAAGCACTTTAGTAAGGGTAGAACTCTAAACCTAAATATCACTTTAACAAATTCAGTAATTTACTCATTCATTCAAGAAATATTTATCTCCATTCAATAAATATAATTGCACATCTACTAAGTGCTAGACACTTACTATCAGAGATATATTGGAAATGATAAACAACAATAAGAAAACAGCTATTGCAAAATGCAATGTGCCATGAAGAAGGCCAAGTAGATGTAGAGACAGAAAATAGCAGCAGGGACTATGGTATTGTCAGAGTATTTCTCAATAAAATAGGAACAGTTCAGCTGAGATGCTGAGGAATGCCAAGAACACAAGGAAGGGGCATAGGGGGTGACAAGTGCAAATGCCAAACGCTTTAGGAAAGAAGTTGACATGTTGGAGGAGTAGAAAGCAGGTCAGTGGGTCTTCTGAGAAATGATCTATGTGCTGTCCTCTTACCAGACTAAAGGATTGTACAGGGCTTCCTTCAGACTCTTACCTCCTTTACTACATGTCATTGCATTAAAGCCCTGAGCCAAAGCTTTATTTTTCTTGGTTTTGGGTGGAGGGGCTAGTTCCCCGTTGTTTGTAGTAGAAAAGTGTGATCCACAAAATAGAAACCTTTGAATCTACTTAATCCAGAACTTTTGTCTTGAGGGAGGGTGGGCTGTAGTGTTGAATAAATGCAGGAGGAACTTTTCAGGGAACATGAAAGAGAAAATGTAGGAAGCCCAGAGGCTTGATCTATGGAGGGGACATTCCTTTCATTGGTTACAGTGGAAAATTCCTCAAGCACAGCCTGGGCCTACCTGATTCATCATGCAGCTCTGTTCCAATCCAGCACATGTTCCAGGAAGATGACAGGGAGAATTTCCCAAATATGATTTTGCCAAGACCTCCTGTTGCAACTTAAGCTCATTTCAACTCAAAGCAAGATATCTTCTCATCACTTTGAGATGAACTTCGCTTCCCCCCGCTTCTCCCCGTCCCCCGTTGTGGCAATCTGCAAGAGAAACTAGAGTGTACAACTACTGATGAGCTGACCACTGCAGCCTTGGTGATGGACACAGCTTGTCACATGGAAAACCCAGCTCAGCAACTGGTGCTGAAGAGCATTAAATCAACGTGCACCCGTCTTCATCTGTTACTGAATGTCCTAGGTGACTTTTGAACAGTCAAACAAGCACATTAAACTTAACCACCTGATGAGAATAACATGGACTCTTGCAAGCTGAACTCCCTCCAATCATATCAAAGGATATTCCTACTCTGTCCTTCCGGAGACATGCTGTCGCTTCCTGGAGGAGGGGACAATTCCATTTTCCACCTGCCAGAGCATCTATTCTTCATGGAAAATCTAATGGCAATTCCCAGCCTCAGTTGAGGACTTGTCTCCCCCCCCCCCCCACCCCCGCTTTTGTTTTTAACTTCAAATACTTTCTAAATGGTGTTAGCCGAAGCATTGTATGTATATAATTAACTCACAGGTCCCTCTGGGCTCATCTAGCTAAACTCCAGGAGCTTAACTGAGCAAGACATTTGCTTATGTCTCCTCCTACAATGACACCCACGGAAACGAATCCCGGCTACAAGAGGAAACCGGGGAAATGTCTTTTCAAATTGGCTTTCCAGTGACTTAATGATTTTGGTTTCATAACAATAATGATCGAATTTTGCTTTCAAATACAGAATTTGCAATTTGGGGGAAGCAGGGTAGGGGTGGTAGAATTCGGTATTTTCCTCCTAGTTGAAGTAGAAAGACAGGCCTCTTTTTTGTATTCACCGGATCTTTGAAATTCCCTCAGGGTGGCAGTGGCTCTCTGCGGGCACAGGGCTCCGAGGGACCAGGCATGTTGAGAGCAAATGTAAGCCGGCCCCGCAGTGTCCTGTCTTCACAAGCGAAACCCACAGGAAGACCGGCAGCACTTCCCCAAAACAAAGTGCAAAGGGCGAGGGAAGGGGCACTGTTCAGACTGACTGTGTTGACTGGATTCACACACAGCGCAGCCCTCTGCTTCCCTCTGCCTGTGTAGACATAAACGCCTGCAGTTATGGCTGTTTGAACGAAGAGATCAGTTGTGATGGCAGAAAACTTCTGGCCGCTGTTTCCCTTCTATTCCTAGCACAGGGGGCTTAAGCTGGGCGCTGAGAAGCTCTTTTCCCATTCTGTCCTCTCTGTTGAGGTTTGGAATCCCAGGCCTTGTCCTTGAACTCCATCAAGGGGCTGCATGCACCACATAGGGGTGAGCAAAGGGACCTGGATGTCCACTTCCTGCCTACCTCAGCCCACCCCCTTCTCTTTGCTGTCCTGAAGCGCAGGTGTCCGGAGACAGGCTGCAAGCTGGGGGGTGGGGGTGAGGGGTAGGGTGGGGGGGCTGTGGGCGGCAGAGTAAACGCCGCCCTCAGCTGCGTGGCGCGGGAAGGGGGAGGTTGAGAGAGCGCGTCTATGCTGTTCACCTGAGCCTGCAAGCGAGCTGCTGGCCGCCCAGGTGCCGGATCGCGGCTGCGTGCGCCCCGCTGCCGCAGAGAGCAGCCGCAGCCTCCGCTCGGCCACCACCGCTACTGGGAGAGTCCTGGGCTGCTGACGCGGTTGGGAGGAGCCTCGCCTTTAATGCACCAGCCGCCTCCAGCCTCCAGCCTCCAGCCTCCTGCAGCAACAGCAGCAGCAGCAGCAGCAGCAGCAGCAGCAGCAGCTGCGAGTGCGCGCGTGTGGGTGTGAGGGTGAGTGCGCTGGCGCCGGCCGCAGCGCCCTGCCCAGCGCCCCGCCGGCTTCCCAGCCTCCGCCCGCCGGAGCCGCCCTCCCGTGGGACCAGCACCCTCACCCGGGCCGGCCAGCCTGAATCCTGCCCCTGCCATCTCGCCCTGCAGCTCGGGTCCGGAAAGGCACCATTTTGTCGCGGCTGCCCCCTCTCCCGAGGGGAGGAGGGATTTTTTTTTTCCCCTTGCATTTCGGAGCGGCTGCCAACGAGGAGAACCTGTTGGGCATCTCCCCAGCCCGGCTTGTGAGCGCCTCCAGGGCGGCGGGCGGGACCAGACCCCTTGGGGCACGGCGCATCTTGGCACCGGAGGCAGGCGCAGCATCCTCGCTGGGAATTGGAGCTGGAGTGAGCGCACCGCGGGAGGAGCCGCCACAGCCTCGGAGATCCCGAGTGGAGGAGGTGACAGCTCCATTGCCGGGTTTTTATTTTTATTTTTTCTCCGCCTCCCCGTCTCCTCCTCAGGCTCGGACCATGGTGCAGTCCCACTGGCTCCCCTGCCCCCCTCTCCTGTGAGACTGGCTGCGGGGAGGGATCATGGATACTTGTCTGCCGGCTTCTGGTTCCCACGCAAGTAAGCCTGCTGTCAATGGAGGAGGACATTGATACCCGCAAAATCAACAACAGTTTCCTGCGCGACCACAGCTATGCGACCGAAGGTAACGCCAGCCCCGCCGCATTCCGCCGCTGGGGCCGGGCGCAAGTTGCGGATCGCTGTGCTCCGCTGGCTGCAGGGCGCGTGGTGGCGGAGACTCCTCCGGGGCTGGGGCGGGGGCTCGGCTCGCTGGGGGGGGGGGGGGAGCGCCCCACATTCATCCGGGCTCCGCGAGGCGAGCCCGGCGTTCAGCAGCAGGTGGACCCGGCGCCCACGGGAGTTAAAATGGCCCTCGGGGATTTTTCAGGGTGGGGCTCCCGGTTGGAAAAATGACCCCCCAAAAAACAGATGACCTCTCCCCCAGGATGTTTGCAGGGGGTCTTGTGGGGAGAGAAGAAGGAAGGGGCCCCCCGAGGACCGTGGGTCCTCCCCACCCTGAGCCGAGTGATGCATCTCAGTGGCTGCAGGGAGGGCATGGTTTCATTTCCTGCCGGCTCATCTCTGGCCCGGTTACCTGCTCAGACAATCAAACCCCCAAAGGGCCCTTTGCAGAAGGGCGAGCCCCTCGCCCCTTGGAAGTGCATTTGCAAGAAATGAAAAGGTGGCTGGGGAAACGGTGTTCTGGCGAGCGAATTAGTGTGACACGTGGGGCGAGCAATGCGATCAGTGGGGCCTTTAAAAATCACCATTATGAATTCTGCAGCAGTAGTTTCTGCTGAATCAACAGCCAGCAGAAAGCAAGAGGGCTCGGTAAGCTGAGCTTTGCCAAGAGGTGAAATTGTCGCCTCTCCCTCTCCCGGCTTGTTCTGATATTAGCCTGGTGCTGTGCACACGGGCAGGGAAAAGTCGGCAGGTGGAACTCATTCTGCCTTTTGTGTGTGAATAGAGTGGAGGGGTGTTTTTTTTGTGTGTGTGTTTTTTTAATACCAAAACTTTTGTATTTTTGCTTTCATTTTCTACCTGGAGGCCTTTATCCTCAACCACTCATATAAAGTGTTGCATTATCACATGGTCATATCCACTTGAGGAAATGTGTGCGAAAGTGCTTTAGGAAAATGTAGCAAGGTGTGTTAATTTAAGGCTGTTATTTTTGGATGCTAAAATATCTATAATTTTTAACAAATCAAGGTAACTAGAGAAATGTGATGGGGGAGTAAAAGAGTTCAAGCTCTGAAAGAAATAAGAAAACCACAACTTGGGGGGGAAGCTGGCATTTTCTATAAATATCCTTGGAAGTTTTAGATAAAAAGACTGCCTGGCGCTATTGAAAATATGTTCTCTGTTCATCTTTATTATTAGAGAACAGCAAGCCTAATATTTCCATGGCAGTAGCAGATTAAGCAGAGTTGTATGAGCTCTGGCCTCCGGGAGCTTAGAAATGGCTTTTAAGATGTTCAGCCTGTCCCTCCCCCATACCAAGCACCATACTTGCTGATTCTTTTCATTTGCATGGTGACAATGTGGATATAAGATGTTCATCCTCAGTCTTAGTGCTTTGTCACTGACTCAGTTACCAGGTAGAATATTATTAGCTCTGTGTCTGAGCATAGCATCCAGGAGAGAAGTTGGCCTTGGGTCTGTTGGCTTTATTGGGGACACCACTTCTGTTTGTGGCAACAAAGAAAGAGGGCTGCCTCCGTGTTTTCCGCTGTATTGCATAATGCTTCCGAGTGCAGGCAAAGGAAACTTACTGAGCTGAGAAGATGAGCAAATTGGGGCCTTGTATAGAGAATACACAAGGGCCCTAGATACTACCTAATCTTTGTTCCTATGTCATGGCATTTTGGTAGATTGATTCTGAACAAAATGTCTGGGTTTATTTAGTCAAAATAAGGGAAAGAGCTTTCCAAAACCTTCCTAAGTCAACCTCTCAGATTTCTCTCTGTCTCTGTCTCTCTCTTAGACCTCGACATTGTAAAAAGCAGGAGTTAGGTAGGGCAGGAAGTTCTCTATGGTCTTACTCTGTTCATTTTAGGGAACATCATGCAGTCATGCTGGCCAGAGGGGGAAGAGTCCCTCTTCTCCTGATGAATACCTTACAGGCGCTGGTACAGCTTGAAAGAGCACCAGATGAAAATAGTCTTTGTTAAAATCCACTTTATTGGGGGTTTGCTCCCAAAGTTCTCTTCCCCTTTGTTAACTTAAACCCACTTTCTGAGGAATTAGCATCCAGGTCCTTCTGTAGACTTTGCTTTTCTCTCTCTCTCTCTCTCTCTCTCTCTCTCTCTCTCTCTCTCTCTTTCCCTCTTTTGATATTTTTCCTACCTCCCAAGATATGTCAGATTTTTTCCTCCAAGATCTCCTTCCCATTTGTCTCTGAGCTTTCTTCCCTGTGCTCAGATCATTCCACACTGCAGTATTCTATTTAAAGCTGAAAGGGCTTTGCTGTGTAGTTAGTGTGAAGGACTGTAAGCTCAATTTGCATTGTAAGTGGTAGCTGCCTGCAAGTTTATCTCGCTAAGAGCAATGAAAATGCCAAAGGACACTTTTACCCAAGACCATCTCTCTCTCTCTCTCTCTCTCTCTCTCTCTCTCTCTCTCTCTCTCTCCAGAAATGCATAGGTGTATTTATTAAAGACATTCTTATGACTCTTCTTTTATTCTGGCCACTAAAGTTACCACCCTTTCCTACCATTTTCTATTTTTCCTCCCTTTTTTAAATTACCATCTTTGAGCATCTTCTGTTCCAAGCAGTGCTGACTTTTTTATAGTAGCATTTAACTATAGCCAAACCCAGCTAAGTGGGTGCTGTTATGTCCATTTTCAAATAATGAAGCAGCAACAGAGGCCCAGAGATGTTACTGGTTTGCCAAGGTCACACAGACAATCAAGGCAAGAGCTTGTCTTCAAACTCACGACTGTCGGAGGACCCACCACAGTCTCTCGCACTAGGAAGTTCTGCACAGCCTCAATTTTCTTTAACCGTGAGCTACTGTTATGGGGAAGATCACAGTGGTTTTGTCTTTATGTATAAACTGTATTCTCATCTGGGGTAGAATTCTTTGCAGGGATCATTTGAAAGTGTGTATAGGGGTTATATATTAGGAAAAGCATGGGTGAGGTTGAAATACACACACACACACACACACACACACACACACTGGTTTTATTGGTTTTCCCCCAATGTGGAACCCTGAGTTCCCTAACCAGTGGCGCATCTCTCAAACCTATCTGATATACATGTGGCTTTCCTTCTATATTTTTAGACTTGTCAGAACCAACTGAAAATCCCTCTCCATTCGATCTGTCAAAAAGTTTTCTAGATCAATCTTCCTACTCCCAAATGAGGCCACAGAGGGAATAGGTGGGGTTTATAGGAATGGCAATCTGGTTAGAAGGGGAAGTCAGAAAACACATTCTAAAACAACTGCTCTGGTTTTGGTTTCCTTACCTATAAAATGGGAATAACAGTAGAACCTATGCTACAGAAAAAACTAATACCGGAAGATCACTGAAGACAGTGCCTAATAGAAAGCCAGACCTCAATAAATGTCCTCAATATATTATAGCTGTTATTATTACTTATACTGCATTTTCGTAGCAAGCACTGTTTTTCCTTGAATTGTTTGATTTGTGTTTATCTTAAAGGGAAGGGCTGGTGGAAGTAGGGGAGAGGTCACACTAAAACCCACCACCGTGTCTTCTGGGCTCAGCCACTAACCATGGATCTTGCCATTTATTAATTTGCCTTAATGTATTTGCTGGTTATATTCTGGTTGCAAATAAGTTCTGTCTTCTCTCGGGGGCCTTAAAAACCCATACTGTTTGTGTGTATTAAAGGAAGAACTAATCATTCCATGTAGCTCCTTCCAATAATTAAAGGCAGATTCACTCAGAGACATGGTCTCTGTTCTCGTGGTGCCTTCAGTCTAGCCGAGGAGGTAGATGTGAAATAATTTTGCAAATAAGTATGTGGTTACCAATTGTAGTAAGTGATCTTCAGGAAAAGCACAAGATGCCTGAGGTCCTATGTAAGGTGGAAAGGCAGATCTAATTTAGATTGGGGATTCAGAGAAAGTTTAAGCTGAGAACTAAAGGCTGAGTCAGGAATTAAGAGCTAAAGGCATTTCAGGTTAAAAGGACAATCTGTACAAAGCTCAGAGATATAAAATAGTTGGACAGATCCAAGGAATGGCAAGATGCCATGGCTGGAGTGTAGGGAACTAGAGGAAGTGTGATGAAAATGAGACTGGAGTCTGCAGTTTACTTTTGAATGCACCAAAACCAAGAAAGAATGGAGGCGAGGATAGAGGGGATGGATAGATGGATAGAGAGAAAATAAAGCAAGTTGAAAATGGTAGAAGTCCAGATGGCCAGTCAATTGGCTATTCACTGTAATTTTTTCAACTTTGTTTGGAAATTCTCATAATAAAATGTTAGAAAAAGAGACTGGGGAGGCATTTAGGGATGTGGTCACATTGAGCCTTGTTGTACATAAGGAGTTTGGACTTAATCCAAAGATGGATCGAAAGCCATTAAAAGATTTGGGGGCGGGGGCGCAAGATATGATCAGGTTTGTTTTTTCAAAGCTCAGTCTGGCTGTTCTGCAGGGTGGTGGGGTCATCGGGCGGGGCAGGAAGTGAACAGCAGTGAAAGCAAGGAGATGATTAGGAGGTCATGGCTGTACTCTCTAGGCCAGTGGCAGCAGTAGAGCTGGGGACAATTAGGAAGAGATGTGAGATATTCTGTAGGAGAAGAATGGATAGGACTTACTTGTGCTAGATCAGGCAAAATGGAGAAGTAGATGAAGATAGTGTCATGGACAACTCCCAGGATTTTGCTATAAGAATGGATGCATAATGAGGCACTTCCCCGAAACTGGAGAAAGACTCCGGAAGTTGATTAGTCTGAGGAGCATGTGTGACATCCAGTCTCACAGTGAGACTCAAGGAAGCAGTTGGATATCTGGATCTGAAGCTCAGAAGAAAGATCTAGACTGGATATATAATTTGGGACATCACGCATATTAAAGGGATTTAAAGCTGTGTGAATAGATGAGGTGCCTGGGAGAAGAGCACCTATGGCAGAATTTGAGCCAATGAATGAAAAATTACATGGAAATTG